TGAGTGCTTCCAGAATTTGGCCTTTGGCAGTGGTGAGAGAGATCAAGCTTTTGGAGGTGTTTTAGTGTTTTTCTGCTGGCAGCTCATGTGGTTGGGTTAGATAAACACCTACTCTGAGTCTCTCCATGGTGTTCTGGTCCTCAGTTGCTTCTGATTCTGATTATTTCCTTCTCCAAATGTAAGGCTTCACTTTGTTTGCACGTGCCTCAGACTGTCTCCCCTTTATGATGAGCAGTTCTCCAGTCTCCAGTTACATTTACTTAGGCGGAATGAAGTAAAACAGTTACACCAAAACTGAGTCCATTCACTTATCCCAGGAGTCTGAAGTTTTAGAGTATTTGACAATGTCAGATAAACATCTGTGTACATTCTCATTGAAAGGGGATTTTGGACAGTTTCATACATCTGTTTTCACCTGCTGTTCTAAATATCAGGTACAATTTTGGAAGCCAGTAGTGGGCTTATAGGCCAAAAGTCTCCCAGGGAGTGTTGCAAATTCACATTAAGTTCCTGAGCACTAAGAGTTTGCATTCGGTTGAGTTTAGTTGAATTATCTCGTGCAGATAATAATTTAAATCCAACTCTGGTTTGTGAAGTAACTGCAACAAACCCTTTTATGTGTGTTAGAAGTGTCAGCGTATGAAGTGAAGGCACATCAGCGTTTTCTCATGTCAAATGCAGTATGTCGGAAATCTGCAAAACATGAGCAAGTGCCTTCATAAAACTGTGTTAGCTTTGGGTTGTTCTAGCCTACCCCGCTCTTCTCAGGAGGCTGTTCCAGGGCAGAATCCTCTGAAGGCTGGGATTTTTTTTTTTTTAGATTCCTACCCTAAATTTATTTACAGCCAACTATTAGCCATTTGTTCTTAAGACAGCATTTTCCACTAGCTTAAGTAGCACTTCTACATCACGGAAGCCCCCCTTCAGTTCTTCTTCCTTTTGGGCATCTCCAAGATTCATTTAAAGTGTGACTTTGATGGGATGAATGAGTCAGACTTTTTAAGTCCCCCTTTATGGTGTGGGCTTTCTGTTTGCATTGCCCCATGGATGGATGGTATGGGTCATTTCAGCAACACCTGCCCCGTTTATCTGAGCTTCTCTGAGCAGACAGCCCCTGGGCTTGAGCAGTGTGTGCGCTCCATCTGGGAATGGAGCCACAGCCATTATCTCAGGGTTTTGGGAGGTGTTTAGCTTTTGAGCAGACCGTATTTGGTATGTGTCACTGGGAGGGATGCTGTGGGACCCCATATTTCCTTGAGGGGCTGGATTCTCATGAGGTGTGTTAGTCTCCAGGCACAGGGTTTCTTTGCTTGTATCAGGCATGAGGCAATACTGGGCTGTGGACCAGGCACTGCGCTTACGCGTTTGCTGCATTGATGCCATTGCCAAAGTCAATCCACCTAGTCTTGCTCTGGCTCTCTGCTGGTGTGTCAGGAACCAATGCTCACTTTAAGATAGTACTTGATAAAACAGGACTTTGCTAGGCAGGCCAGCATTTTGCTTCAGACATGACCCTTTTTATCACATTTTCCCCCTTCCGCCCCCCCAAACGGAAGTTATTACTGTGAGTAATAACAGTTATTACTGTCAATTTATTGCAGAACTAATTGACCATGTTGACACACTTTAGTAGGACCACACTTTAATAGGAAAAATTTCAGAGTAGCATAATACAGATCTGACAGTTGCATCTGATCTTGCATCTCATTCTTTGCCAGCAGGGTAGTCCCTACTGTGGTGCCACGCTAATTAATCAGCCTAGCACTTTGATTGGATCATTCTGGGTGTTTCAGTTTCACGGGAGGATTTGCTGACCTGGCTTTTTAGCTATCAAGTAACTTGACAGTGCACATTTTCAAAACAAAAGACTAAAACCTAGAATCTAAACAAAAGCAGATTTAGAAACGGGTTTGCACTACTTCAGGAGACAAACGCAAGCAGTGACTGAAATCCATGCAGCCATTGGATTTACTTTTCATTGCTTTTGACTTCCACTTCAGAACTAAAATTTCTCCAGCATTATCCAACATTAGACTGTAGAATACTAGGAGGTTTATTTATTATTTAATACTACTCCTGTCTGTCCTAGCCTCATCTAATAGTTTCATTTCTTGGGTGTGGCTTTGTTGATGTGGGTCAGACAAGGCATAAGGCGTGCAGGGAGCTGTCAGCCTGTGAAGCACTCTCATGCCACTTTGGTCTGCTCAAACTTTCAATCAGATTAGATGGTACACCATAAAGTGCTGTCTTAATTCAAGTACATTGTACTGTATCTCATGAAAGTTTTAAGGCAGAGGTGGCAGCACATGTGAGCTTCCTCCCATATCTGTATTCTCACTGAGGCCAATGAACAGTATTTCTTGCACTAGCTGAGCTGCATGGATGCCAAAAGACTCACAACAGACTGTGATTTGAGGATGCAGCCTCCACTAAATGGACTTTGAAAAGCTGCAGTGTATTCTTCACTGCCTAGTCACAGGGGAGATAGATAGTCACTACATGGCGTTGAGATAAGGAGACACTGGCATTTTAAGATCTGACCCAGGAAAGTGGCAAACACCTGCAATTTCCATTGAGATCAAGGAGAAGTACAGATCCTCATCAATTCTCTTGCGGGACACCTTTTAAACAAATACTTCTCACAAAACCTTTTCACAGGCATCTTTAAAAGCAGAATCTCCACTCCCAGGCGCTTTCAGTTCCTCTCATTTTCCTGGTTTCATATTACAGGGATTTCAGAGAATGAACCAGGTGAAGGTTGCAATCAGTCCTGTCTAGAAGTAACCAAATACAACTTGGAATTATTATACACACACCCTTGGGGTTTTTTTTAAGTAAATGGAATGAAAGTGCCAAGGAAAGTGGTGTGAGCTTTTCACACATGACCTTATATCATTCCATACAAAGTTACAATTAAAAAATGAGATGTTCAGATGTAAATGCATGTCTTTGTACAAGCTCTATTGAAGCAAGCTCTGCTTGCATCCTCTTTGTGTTCTCTGCCCTGTTCTGATGGGATGGGGTTGCTTAGCTGCTGGTTGGGGTGAACTCACCACACCCAGTATTCTGGTATAGTAAGTAATCTTGGCTTTAATACACTGCTTGAAAGGGAAGAAAAACCTAATACTGATTGCGTCTTTAACTTCTGTCTTCCAACTCCTGCATGTAGTAGTATGTAGCAGTTATGAAGCACTTCCCATTTTCTTAGGATTTTAAAAGTATTCAAGCAAATTAAAAGCTTATATCCTGCGAAAAATGTTTATGAACATATTTTTGTGTTCTCCTGTTCCTGAGTTATACGTGAAAGTGGATCTTAGGCTTCTGAGTTACTGTGTTGCAGTTAAACCTCACAAAAATCCTGTGAGGTAAATAATTTATTATTTCCCTCTGAGTAATGGTGAGTCTGAGGTAAACTTGTCTACTGATGCGGGTCTTTCTGCTAGTGCCGGATTGATGACTACCTGTTCCTGGCTGCACTCAGTGTCTTGGCTGTTGTTTTACCTCATATGAAGGTGGAAAGGTAAATGCTGTCTTTGTTTTCGTGGTGTGAGAAAAGTGGAAAAAGTTAAAGCAGGGTCTGGAAATAATAGAGTAGGATACCTACATGAGAAGTACTCATTAGCTTGCACAATGCTTTAGCCTTGCTCTCTCTTGCAAAAACTCTCAAGTCCTGCGGTTCCTCTGGGTCATTGCTGTAGCAGTTTAATAGGGAAAGGAAAAAAAAACAAAACCTGAGGTGACTGGAATAAAGGGCATTAACTAGTGAAGGGATTAAGTTGCCTCCCCAGCCTTACTTTTTGGAGGTAAAGAGACAGAACTTCGACTGACATGTAGAACACACTAGGAGGAATGAGAGAGCCAATCAGTCTAAGGGTGCATGAGCCTTATCCTCTTCCAGTGGTGTGGAGCTGGCAGTGGCTTTGGTTTGTTACTGCGTTGACAGCTGATGAAATAGCTCCCTGGAGGAGCATGACTTTCCTTGCCTTCACCATGGCCCCCACACTTGGAGTTGGGGGGCAGACTGGGAATTAATAGCCTGTCCTATGGCCAGCTCCAGCTGTGCAGGCAGCTGGGGTGATGACAGCTCACTCCACCTCTACAGCCCATTCCCAGCTTTAAGTGCTTAGATCATGGATTCTCTGAAGCAGATACAGTCCTGTGTGGTACCTGATGTGTTTACCCTTCGTGGCTAGGATACAGCCAACATATAGATGCATATACCTCCCAGGCTGGTCAGTTGGGTGTCCCAGGTGCCACGGTAAGAAACACTTGCTATCCTTCCTAGTGCTTTGCGTGCAGGCATATGCTCAAAGAACAAGAGAAAATAGAAGGATGCTGCAGAGAAAGTTTGACCAAATCTTATGGTTTACACTGACAAAAATCATAGGGCTTGATAATCTTTTTGTTCAAATATTTACTTGAATGATGAGGGGATTTTATTGTAGGCTGAACTTCATTCACCTCTGCTATCTAAAAACCTGTTTATAGAAACACGGGCATGGGGTCTTGGTAACTGTTCAGTCAGCCTTCACTTCAGCAGCTGACATTCAGGCACTCCATTTTGTAAGGTTAATTTCCTCTTAATAAAAGTAACCTTGTGTGCATTCAACTCAGCTTGCACATGGATATCACAAAGCAGGTTGAAATTGGCATTGCCAGTATTACAAGCAGAATGTAAAGAAGAAAAAAACAAAAAACAAAACTCATAAAATACCATACAGAATATCAGGGAACATTTTTTGTACTCCTGAGTTGTCAGGAGAGCATAAGATTCTTTCTGCATTCAGAAGGGAGTTTCTCAAAGAGTTCAGCAGCCAGAGGCAAAACACTTTGCCTTCTCAAGGCAGCTTTTACTACAGCTGAACAAAGGATGCAGCATGTACAGGCGGTCCATGTTCCCTCCTCAAAGGGACGGGTCTGCCTTTTGCATGCAAGCAGTTCCTCTTGGGTAAAACATCCTACCTTTTCTGACACGTGCTTTGTCTGCATTTTGCCTCCAGTGGCTGAGGAACCCAGGACCCCAGCACGAGAAGCGGACTCTCTTTGGAGACATGGTGTGCTTCTTGTTTATCACTCCGCTGGCGACCATCTCTGGCTGGCTGTGTCTACGAGGAGCAGTGGACCATCTGCACTTCAGTAGTAGGCTTGAAGCTGTTGGCCTCATTGCACTCACTGTCGCACTCTTCACTATTTACCTCTTTTGGACTCTAGTAAGTATTGCTTTTCTATTCAGCTCACAGCAATAAGGAAAAGAACAAACCAGAAGATTAATTATACAGAGTGCTGTAGAACAAGTGGACCATTGTACAAAGAATTGCTTTTACTTACCTACTGTACTGACAAATTGAAGTTACATCTGCAAGAAACCTCTTGGTTCCACACCATTCAAGTTTTCTAGAAAATCAAAAAGACAGTTTGCCTTTGAGGTCGGTAAGTCCCAAATCCCAAAGACCAGAGGGAACAGCAAGAAGGAGACAGGGATGTGGTATGGAGGAGTTCAAGACAAGTGCTACAGGAGCGATTTTCATCAGAGATAATGTGCAAAAGGTGAAGGCATAGTGCACAAAAAAGTGTTTGGTGAACAACCTAGCTGCCACTGAGGATTCAGATTTTATTCTAATCCAACATCTGGCCAGTTTTGCAGTTCAAAAGCCTTGGATGTGGGTGAATCTCATGCTTTCCCCATTCATCATGCTTGTGGTGCTCTGGGAAGTCCACAGCAAGAACACACCTTACACCTAGGTCTGTGGAAATTCAAAGGCAATCTAACCTGAGATACACACATGTTGGCAGATGGCTTAAACTCGCCTTGCTGAATCTGTACGATCTTGAATTTGATGTGCTCAGCAATAAAGCATTAGAAAGTGCAGCATGCGACCCTGTCAGCGTCTGCACACACCATCCAGCCAGTTATGTTATCTGTCTGTCCAACAACCTGCAGCATGATAGTACCCTGAACTCTTTCTTACGTTAAGTGGCTGACAGTAATTCTGCCTCTTGAGAAAGTCAGAGGCAGGATATCTGGGTTTTCATGTTATAAAAAAGGGAATGAGGGGCAAGCAGCAGCAGAAATTAGGGCGCTGACTGCTTTTCTTCTCTGCTGTGGCAGCTTGGAGAACAAGCCAGCTATATGGTCAGTCTCATCTTTGCCCACCACTTTTGGCTTATTTTTATCCCACCTGATTAGGATGCTTATTGGCTTTTTGTTCCGCTTAAAGGCATTTCCCCCCAAACCCCAAGTGATTCCTTGGAGAACTGCAGTGACTCTAAACACAGCGTATCTTTCTTCTCTCCCCAGGTATCCTTTAGGTACCACTGTAGATTATACAACGAATGGCGTCGGACCAATCAGCGGGTGATACTCCTAATCCCAAAGCCTGCCAATGTCCCCACCAACCACCAGTCCCTGCTGGGCCTGCAGTTTCTCAAAAGGAACTCAAAGGAGACAATCGTGTGATTTGGGCAGTTCTGCACTGGGACCACACACTAAAAATATTTTTCTCAATCTCATTTGGGTCAGACTCTGTCCAGAACCCAGGAATGTGCTATGCCTATGTACAGACTCTTAGTCAGTGGTTGAATTCAGATCGTGGATGCTGCAATCATAGGATATTTGCTAACCTGCCAAATGTATTTAGCAGATACTGTATGGAATCCTACAAACTTAAGGTAATACTTGAATCATCCAGTGATGTGACCTTTTTTATTGTTTAAAATGTTAAACTACGATAAGGAAACATGCAAAACAGGTTTTAAAAGTGCTTTATCACTTCCTGTTCCAAACATATTATTTCTCTGGGTAGCTGGACAGTAACCAGTTTCCTAAAGCACAGCAATGGCATTCCTCTAGCTGATTTTATTTGAAGGTCCTTTATATCAATATTTTTTGATTATTAGAACTTCTGTGTAATAAGTTCTTCAAATTTTTATATTATTTAAATGCTAACATTGATTAGAGATTAACTTATCTGTTCCCTATTTGGCAGGGAATATCTGACAGGAAAATTCTTCAGTAATAAATTTAGCATGTGCAAAAGAAATGACAGAAATTACCATAACATTCCTACTGAAAAATATTATCGTATGTAGCACTCAGGAAAAAAACAACAACAACCAAAAAAACCCCAGAACAGTTGTACTTTTTCCACTCAGAAGCAAGAAATTAGCAAAAACTTATTCACTGAAGTGCACATTCTGTTGGTGTGAATTCAGACTTAGACAGTTTACTCTGCGTTTACACCAAGCTGATTTTAGCCCTAATTGTAAGGCTTAATTTTGTAAGGAAGACTGCATACATAATGAGTGAGATCACGAGACATGTTTTAGGAAGCAGGAAATTGTCTTGCATAAAAACTAATTTAAAATTATTTTAAAGCTGTAGAATTCAGCTTGACAGGTAGATTTAGCAGAGTGCAAGTAAACTCTGACCTCCCATTGAAGTACTGAGACTAAAGGTTTTTAAAAACAATCTAATACACAGCATACGATGGAGACCAAACTGAATTTGGAGTGTAAAAACTGAACTTTTTTCCTGAGTGACATTATCTATTTCCCCTTGAGTTTATGTCCAATTCATTCAGCAATTCTGCACTCTCAGAAGAGACATACAGTTACATAGAGATTTACTTTACAGAACTACACAAGATTTCATTAACAAATGCTGCTAGAATTAGAAATTGATATGTAGCATCTTTGAATAGATTATTTGTTTTCAAAATGTGCATAGATGACACCACCACCATATGCTTCATTTTCCAAACTCTGCAGGAACTGGAAATAAAAAGGAACACATAGCAAGAAGGCTAATAATTTATAATTTAAGTAGTTTAAGATACTATGGGCGTTTACCATCAGATGAGAGCTGATTTGGTGTTATAAGTGCTCCATGGGTGAAAAAGCTTAGTACACAAAACCAAATATGTTAGCTTCTTTATTCTGTCTTTGTACTAGTCTAGCTGTAGCCATGTTATATTGTCTAGATGTAGTCATGTTATTTAACAATATCTTTGTAACTGTCAATTTCATGGGGATATAAGAACTACCTACAGAAAGCAATAACAGCCTCATTCAGACATAAAACTAGTTTCACAGCAAGCCAAGATGCATAAGAAATTTGTGGATGTGCACTTATTAGTCTGACAATAAGGTCAGTGGTTGCTCACATGTTTGGCAGTAAATACCTGCTTCTTTTCCAGACAAAATTATACATGATTCTGAAGACATGGACACCACAAACTCTGTGATGGCGTGAAATCTGTAATGATTATTTTTTTTAACCCTCTTCCTAAAAGCAACTAACTGGGTAGAATAGTGAACTTGCATCTAAGCAGAGAGTTCCAGATTAAAGAAAAACTTGCTAGCCATGGCTGCAGAAATAAAGCAATGTGGTGGTTTAAACCACTTTT